ATCAGTAGTATAAATAAGTAAATAAATAGGTAAATATCACTTGCATTGAGGAAGGAGGTTGCGCGGTTGCGTGGTTCGAGGCGCATTGATGCGGCTTGTAGTTCTGATCCCATCCAGACCTACGAATTCCTTTGTATTCTGAAGGTATCTTAGTGATAACACAGTTTTTGTAAGATTGGGACTGTACTGAACGGAACCTCGACCTTTGGAAAAGTTTCCCTTCAGCAACGAGAGGCGCCGTGGGTTCCTCCTACTCACCAAAGATCGCTACGTGCGACATCACGAGTCCGTAAATACTGCTTTCGTTCGAAGTTTGCTTCGAGAACCTTTTCACCCGACTAGATAATGGCAAGGTGATAAGATCGGAGGCGTTTCCGCTCCGTCAAGCAGGCAGAGTTTGTCCGTTGGCGATGTTCGTTATGACTCCCTGACTCAGAGTGGATAATCAATTTAGCAGGCGATGCATAAGGAACTCTTATAAACGCGTCAGTACTCCCTTCTCATTCCCCTCGCTGTAGTTTCACCCAGGCCTTCCTTTGTCTTCAATTGGTAAGGGCTTGATTCTGGCGCAGGCCGTGGCTTATGGAGGGGCAATGGCTAGCGCTAGTATGGGTGTTGATCATTTCAACGCGTAATCTCTCCTAATACGGGTACTTTACTCGTCTATTCAGAGAGTCCTTTGTATTCAGCAGCGCCGAAAGGTTCACTGGGATCATATCGTCGTTGCATGGTGAATAGGGCAAATAATTTGTTTTACAAATAGAAATCTGATACTTGGATGTCACTTGACGTCAAACGAACACCATGAACGTCGCCAGCCGGATGGTCAAGCTTTCTTATGGAACTAATAATAGACTTTATGTTCCGAGATCGATGGGCTAGGTGACGTCTCGAGAGTTTAGCCACTCCGCACGGGATGTCTAGAAAGCGTAAATTGCTTAGGCGTGGACCTTGTGACTCTTTGTCAGTAGGATATCGACGTGTGCTACGGCCACCCACACTGCACGCCCAATTGAAGCTTTATACGGGAGCTGGACTGCTGATCCTTGTATGGGATCAACCTTGAAAACTCGATTTTTGGACCTGTTGGCATGGACACGAACTTGAAATGTGATATCGTGTTCGCAATTGTGTCACTTCTGGGTTTTGTATTACCGTCTTCAAATACGGTAGCTCCTTTTATTCTTCAGAGAAAAGTAAAAAAAAGGTTTGTCATGATTTTGTGGACTATTAGCTGTTACGGTGTAGGCAGAAGCTTAACGGTACTCAGTTGATGCATCTACTCATTGAGCTTAGCTTCATAGACGAGGCTTGAAGTAATTCAGATGTTCAAGATGGTATCCGGTTCCTCCGGTTCCATAGCTTACTACAGAAGAGCGGCAGATAGTCTTTTATTGCTAACAACGTATTTTGAACAGTTGATTTTTATAGTAGGTACTGTAGCTAAGAGTTAGTCAATAGGACTGCAGGGTTCTCAAAATACTATACTCTTACTTAATTGTGANTCAAGTAGGAAGTGGAATCTGTTTGTGAAGAATCCAGATAAATAATAATTTTTCTTTTTTTCCTTTTTACCTTCAATTTTTGGAAGATTCGAAAATTGAGTTTCAAGCAAATAGAGTGTTACCTGCGGACATAACAACATCGTAAATCCTCCACTTGAATACTGACCGTTTCGTTTTTTCCCTCAGTTTTTCTCTTTTTGGAGGGTTTTCTACCTCAATTCATAAACTTTGTTGTCCATTTCATCTTTACGGCAACCAATTTCGTAGTTTTCCCGTTCTTTTCGTGAGTTTTGCAGTCAATTTCGTTAAATTGACCTTTTTCTAGGTCTTTACCTCTTTATTTTATTTTTAATTTAATTTTTATTTCTTATCCTATTTTTACATTGAAATTTCTCATCGACTTCGTTCAAAAAGTGTATGCACCCCCCTTCTTGAACTTCATGAAATCGAACATTGCTCATCACCAAGACGACATTTCCGTTTCCTTGCTTTTAAGTAACTAGAAACAGCTCTTTCGTGTTGACCTGAGGTAGGTCTTCGCCGTGTAAGAGGTAACCCGCTTACGGGAGACGGGCAGTAGAATCGGTTTTGCTTAATCGATTCGTCGCACGCGGCTGTCACGGACCATTCCCATTGCCTTCATTCCGGCTCTAGCGTTCTTCATACAGCTCAATCGATATACAATCCCTATTTTAGTCATGATTCTACTGTTAGTTCCTTTGTTCCTGTATTTCTTACTTGCTGCTGCATTCTCCTATACTCCTTCGCGCGCGGTGTCCCTCTTGCCGCGCGCGACAATTTCGTTCCTACTGCACCATACCCACCCGCTTACTGTTCAGGGCCTAGGAGATGGTGATGATCCTTATACGAATTCTAGGAAGTTTACGAAAATGAGTCAAAAGTTTGCGAAAATGGTTGCGAAACCTACTCAATGGGACTCAGAAATTGCGAAATTGACAGCGAAATCTACGAAACAAAATGGGGAAACTACGAAATCGGTTGCGACATACATGAAATTGAGGGCAGCGCTACCGGATTGAGGTGGAGAATTCTAGGAGATTTTATGGTAGTCCGTACATAAATGACATTCAAATATAAATATCAATATTTTAAATGTCGATATGATTCAAAAAAGAATGAGTTGGCTTAAAGCAGTGAATCTCATGTGATTGATGAGGTCAGCATGACTCGCGAATTTCGTAACTGATGACTCGTCTATTTCCGCTGCTCTTTTTGTGGTGACGGGTCCTAATTGTTCGTTGAATAGGCTTTCAGAATGAGAAATAACATCTCGAACATCATTTGCCCCTATGGTTGTAGTCGAAGATGGCAAGTCGAACGGTAATATCCATAGATCCCTTTTCCGGTTGAAAGTAGAAGGTTCAGGGCGATAGGTTGCAGTTCATCCGTCTGCGATCTATGGTCGTCTAAAAACCTCTTGTGAGTCATCACTAAAGCCTTAATATGCCCCTTCAAAATGGAACAGACCGCTTGCTATACACATATTCCACATCGAATCACCGATGTTTACCCCTGCGACGTGCTTGATGGCCCGAATGTTTTCGTCATAGCCTTATAGAGCGATTTGAAAATATTAGAAAGGATCGGATGCCAGCGATGCTGCCCATTGCAGTAGGGTCGGGATTTTACTGAAACGGTGGGATGGATCAAAGAAGTAGGGTCCTGTACAAGAGTCCAAGCTTGACTCGAATGAATCCGGCATTTTCGTAAGTATGGCTTTGTTATGACGTGAAGTCCAGTGACTAGTCCTGAACTTATCCCCGATTCATTGACTTAATGTCTGGTTTTGGGTGTTTTTCGACTTGTGCAGCTTTCCACATAATCTTCTGCACAGGGCTTATTCTAGCTGCAGAAACGGGATCTTGTTCTGGGGAATGTTTGCTTCTGCGAATACCTGATTGTATTGCTCTGTATAATGGCTACGTTTCCTTTGAAATATCAAGTCTTTCATGTGGATTACTTTCTAATGTTCATTTGTGCGCTCCTTGAGCTTTCTTGATGATAATTTTGTTACAAGGTTGAATGATCCTCTGCTACCTACCCTTATCAATATTTAAGGTTTATTTGACGATGAGGTATATGGCTAGACTGAATCCATCAAAGTTATGGTGCAGAAAAAAGCAAAAGTGGGGTAAAAAGCGCGGAAATCGGCGGTTTTTTGAGTTTGTTAGGCTTCAAAAAGGTAGTAAAAAGTGGTTGCGCGAGAGTTCGACGACAGAAGAGGCAAGGAAAGGGTATTTGGACGAGTTGTTAGATGACACATTAGCGTAAAGAGCTGCAGACTTCCAAATGGCAAAAGTTGCCTCCCATTGGGCGCCTTCACAGTGCTCACGGCATAGTCCATTGCATAAAATACCATTCTATTGAAAAAAGATAAAGGAGGCATATGTCGATTGCAGATTGCATTCGTATGAATGCCTCGCCGTCTGTAAACGTCTGGGCGTCTCCCCATTAGCGTACTATTTGTCGGCGTCCTAACGCTTCATTGTGAATGGCGCAGCCTTAACAAAGCCATCATAACACTGCCTTTTTGGATGTGTATTTCGGCCAAAACGGCTTTATAGACCTTATTGCGCCATTTTCACGTCCTTTTTCGGCCCAACAATGTTCTAAGCACTACTCATAGGAGCCACAGGTTCATCCTGGGAGGAATCTCATGAACAACTTCTATCGTAAACTGTGCCTCAAACATCGCAACGAACAATGACTTTACTTGAACAAATCGATATCCATTTCGAAAAGGCTGTAAAGTCAACAGAGTTTGGTTATAAGCCAAATCTATCTGATTCGAAACTCCAAGCAGGTTTCCCCAAGCACTCTGTGATATCCTAAACGCCTGATTAAGAGGAAATCGCGATATCATCACAAAATAAACTTCTGGTGCAACGACTACAGCGGATGTGTTATAGGAGAGAAATCAATGCTGTTTTTATCTAGTGGCTTAGGCAGCTCGACGGGCAGTGCTATCGTGTAAGAGAGTTTTCAGCATACTGCTGCTAATAATACTAACTAAACCCTTTTGTGGACGAGCCTCCTCACACGAAAGACAGCAGTCTTCATGCGCTTGGTGATTCCAGATTCCTTTTGGATTCTATGAAAAGTCCAATCTTAAAGCTGGCACTAGTTCTGGTGAATGGCCCTTTCTAGCGGAACCTTTCGATTTTGTTGGTATCGAAGTCATTAAACTTCTCTTTTTGACCTTCAGTGTGATTTAGAAAATTTATTTTTCATTGCCAGACGTGTGGCTTTGCCCTCGATTCGCTCATTCGGAAACGGCATGTCGCGCGACGAATCTTTACTGGTTGTCTCTACGCGCGACATACCGTGCCGAGACAACTAGTAAAGATTAGCCGGGCGACACGCCCTTCGTCGATTACACGCGTCATTTGTAATCGCTTAGTCATTTACTAGAGGTCCAGTACAATCATTATTAATACTTATTTCAGATGATCTCATTTTGTGCATTATAAAAGTATGGACGAAGATGATGACATTCGCATTGTGCCATTCACCGAAGAAGAAAAGGCTCGCCTGAATGAAAAGGTTGGTTTTGCTTACATGTATAATTGTTTTTATGAGCGTGTTCTCCTCAACCAATTCGCCTTCGAATGAATGAGAATAGTTTTTATGTTCCATATAACAGCTTTCAGTTACCAGTTTAAGAAACCAGTCTAACAAGTGAAAAGGTATGGGGGCCCAGAAAAAAAAGTCGTGAAAGATTCGTAGGGTTTTACGAGTGCCCATCAAACCGTAGAATGTTCGAATACATTCACACTACGTTATGATGGATGCCCCTCACATTTCGAACGTCAGTTGCTATAAAGGCTGACGTTCTAGGTTGGTTAGTCGGTCAAATTTGAGCATCCGGGGGAGGGGGGAGAACTCGAATTAGACCAGCTTAGTTAGCGAAGAAATGAAATTGAATTAATGGAATCGAAATCAGAAAAACTCCGATGGGAGTCACCATGGAACACCTCAAAAACTGAAATTTGTACGGAAACTGTGGGGTTTGAAATGTTCAAGTTCCGTTTGCAATCCCTTATTGATACAGTTTTCGAGCACACTCGAGGCTCTAGATGTGCCTCAGGTTTGTACCGATGGGAGGGTCTGAACGAGATCAGAGAGGTATCGCCAAATATCTTATAATACTTGTCAGTAATATAGCCGCATTGTAGTCGAGATAATGAGAAATACTGCAGATATTTGGTGATTCCTCTCTAATTTCTAGTCGCTAGCCTTTGTACTGTACGAAACCCTTCATATTGAATATTTCAGATTTCGAACTTTCCGTTCCTAGGGATTTCTTCATTATCATCTCCATTCCCAGGGAATTCTTCATGATCAGCTTCTAAATAACTTTGGTGATCCTCAGCAACCCTTATCTTTTACCATTATCTTTGCGGAGGGTCTGTTCATTCTCTGAATGGGGGCATATAAGCCTTCCCTTTCATCCCCTTTCGGGCAAGTCGATATGACGTTCGTGTCCTGCATTGGAAATAACATCCTGGTGTTTTTGTTACTAATGGCGAGTGAATGACGTCATCGGTCAAGAATCGAGCCCTGTAAACATTATGGAGCACTGCAAGTTCCTCAGCTTCTCGGTAAACGGGGACAAGCCAAGATAGTGAAGATAATGTTGATGGGACGTGTTTATAGTTTTCATCAAAAGCTATCAATCAAACAGTTTTAGTCAATTAAGGTTGTGAGAGGGAAAACCCAGTCAAAACAGAAATGGTTTGTTTATTTGGTGGTGCGAAGCTGAACTAAATCAACGCAGATCTCAGGTATTTGATGGCTGAGTTTATGATGTTGACACCACAGACCATTTGCTTTTTTTTGTTCGATTATTCTTGTCTATACTTTATTTATCCAAATTTATGTCAAGTGACAAATTGATGCTGTGCTTCAAAATGTCCCTCGCCCACTTTTAATCAGTTTGTCGGCAACCTCGTATACGAAACGCCGGTTAACGAGAAAGTGATTAAGCCCTCCATACATACTGACGTACCTCGTCAGTTCCATTCACCCATTCAGCATAAATGTGTTATTTTTCGGACAACCAAATGACATGAAATTTTTAATGTATCCAAGGATACAAATTACAATGACTTTGAAGTATTCTTTGCCAAGTATCCTAAACATTTGTCTAGGGTAGTGCACTGGTGCTGAAATAAGCAGGAAACCCATTAAATTTGCGAAAGTTTAAGGTACATATCTTGAAACTAGACAAACTTGGGGTTGTTTGAGATGGTGACAGGGAAAGGGGTGTTTGGTCGAGTTTTCAGTCGTGCTGACTAGAGCATCCCTGTTGGAGTAAATGCCTCCACTATGACCAAAGATCAATGCTCCAAACGATCAGCTTCAACGAGTTAGAGTTTTCCACATATGCGCTCCACAGTGAATGGTGCAGCCTCTACATGGCCCTTAGAACACAGGACCGTGGACGTGACCTTCGAAGTAGCCAATTTCTGAGCTTTAATTGCGCCTATCTAGGCCTTTTTTGACCCAACAGTACCCCCTGTAGCAACCCCGTACAGCAGAGATTCGTACGGGTAGGAAATCTCGATAACTATTCCTACCACTGCGCCCTCGATTCCGAAGGTTCATTCGCTTCTTGACTTATCATGGGACAGATGTCGGAGCTATCTCCTGAACAGACCGTTCCAGGAAAGATACGGCACCTCACTTTCTCATATCGTGTACGTCATAGCTAGGGCTACCTCTAGATCCTACTTGGTTTCATGGTTGATGTAGGTATTGTTTCTGAGGATAAAAACGATGGCGTGTGTGCTGGTTGCTGATGTCATTGTCCGAGCGATATACCCATTCAAATGATTTAATGATATTTGAACGACATTTCGATGTATGTATACTATGTATAGTGCATTCCGAAGGGACTGATCATCGTCTGTTCCCTCACCCCTTCATTCCTACACTAACAATTAACTGTCCCGATCCCTCCCAAATCCGTGGAAGCCACCTTCTATGGCTGATTCGGGGTGATTGTGATTTTAACAGGGATAACAGGTGAATTCCCGTTCTTTCATGTTAACTAGGTGCAGAACTCCCGAGCGGTTTCTCGTTGTCAGTTTCGGCCCTGCCTAACTCCAACGTGGCAGGTTTCCTCGGCTCCGCTCCGGGTATTCCTCGCAGTCGTTTTTTCCTTTTTTACAACTACAACGACCTCAAAGCGGATATATGTCTTTGGTGATCGTTTCACTGTACATATGATCATCAAATAGTCAGTTTTTAGCACAACTACTGTACAGGTATGTTTCAGGTTCGAAAAATGAAATTTGCTCGACCTCCACCAAAACTTCCATCAACAAAACGGCCTGGAATCACGTCAAGTCTCAAGACAACGCCGCAAACCTTTTTCGATATTGCTGAGGAAAAACCTTTGAGCGGTATGTTTACACATTTCTAATTGACAGTAACTAATTTCCAAGTAAGTTGGGCAATGTCCTTACAAACAAGCCCGGGTTTCGTTGAAGGCTGATTTTCTGGTCAAAGGCACGGAGTTAGATTCGCCAGGTTAAAGCAAAATCACACAACGTGCGCTCAGAATCTTGAGAATTGTCGGAATCATTGTAAGCTTTTGAAACTCATTGAAATGGCGTATATAGGAGCGTATCAGGAAATGGGCAGTTGAATCGGTTTCGTGAAATCGATTCGCCGTACGCGGCAGTCGCGAACCCTATCGATTGTCGTGATTATTATTTTTGCCTCAATTTCACTGTTACTCCTGGTACTCTTGTATTTCTTACTCGCTGGCTCATTCTGCCACATTCCTTCGCGCGCGACGTCGCCCTTGCCGCGGAGCGCCAATTTCCGATTCAACTGTGCCACACCCGCGTATACATGGCTAACTTCAGTTCTTGACTGGCATCGGCGTTGCCTTTACTAAGAAGGTTCTCATTCTCATCTAAAACCCCACTAAAAGGGATGTTGGTGTAATGAAATGAAATGTAATGAAATCGCTCTCTGAAAGATTTAAAGTTGAAATTTTGAGTATACCAAGAAAAGGTGAAATATTCTCTCAGGAAGTAGCAGCCCAAATTTTTCGATATTATCTTGAGAATACCTGTTGGTTATCGACTAAATTGAGCAGGCGGCCTTAACAACTCCATTCAATCCTCTTATGCAAGTTGATGTTGTTCAACATGTTGGCCATTCATCCTCTAGAGGCTTTGAGCAAATCACTGCTTTTGTTCAGAGCTTTCGCGCAACGATCACACTAAAGACGTTTCTGAGGTGTTGCTTCTTGAAGTTGATAGTTACATGTCTCTCCAGTCATTAAAAATAGGTGTCTCGCGTAATGGTTCGTCAGATGATTAATGAAAGAAGCTTACGGCGTAATCACCAACCAACGATCACTTGCCGCGTGATATGTCATGCTTCACGCGGGTTCTTTGCTTTCCCAACTTGTGAGTCGTGCCAGGGACATACCCTACAATGTGCTAGCAAGAACACAGAACAATGACAACCACTCTTTCTACATTACTACAAAACATGTACTGGGTCCGTGCGAGACGGAAGCTTTTCAATGGAAATGTTCCTCAAATACACGGTTCACAGTACCCTAAAATTCCATAGATAAGAGCGGTCTAATTTACCGATGAAAAATGAATTGGAAAAAATTGAAATTGAATGCAGTCACCCCTCTAACTTGATGGATGGA